TAAACAGGTTTTATTAGCAGGTCTACTCACCACGGCCAGATCAGAGCTCGGCGGGGAGCTGCTAAAAGGATCCTTGTCCACATCTTGAGAACCAAACGGGTCCGCCTCCTTTGTGCCGGTCATTTTGCCTCCAAACGGGTCTGAATCAGCTGTGTTGTTCCCTTTAGAGCTGAACGGATCGTTGGATGCTGCCGCTGGATTGGTGGATTTGGAGGCGAAAGGATCCGGACCCGCTGGTGCGGCTGCTGTATCGTTCACCTTGGCTGCAAAGAGGTCTGGCTCCGGCACGCCAGAAGTGGTACCAAAGGGGTCGGCTGAAGCAGAGAAAGGGTCCTCTGAGGAAAACGGGGTGCTGGAGGTTTGTGTGAAGAAAGTGTCTGCAGCAAAGGGGTCTGAGCCTTTGAATGGATCGCCTCCAAAAGGATCTGATTTAACATAAACAGCAGGAGAAACATAATGAATAATATGACCCACTCGTCAGATGGGACATATATATATATAAATAAAACAATGCTGTGCTTGTGTGAGATTCATTGCTCATTAAATACTTTGAGCAGCACCTCCAACATCTGCTTTTCCAAAAGGATCTTCTTTGAAAGGATCGTCTACAAAGGAAAAACACACCATCAGTCTGCCAGCGTTCAGCAAGCATTAAAAACACGTTTTTTCCATCTTGATTTTTCACGATGTCTTACGGTCGGTAAAAGGGTCTGAATGGAAGAAATCCATGTCAGGCAGGGAGGGAGGGCTGCCCTGTGGTGGCAAGGAGCGAGGGCCAGGCTGAGGTGGCGAGGGGGAGGTGGTTGTTTCTGTCGGCTCTGCAGGCTCCTGTTTGCTCTCCGGCTCTGGTGATGCAACCTGTCGCAGAGAGGCGCTCTGAGCATTACGGTGAATCATGCATCATGGTTATGGAGGGGGAGGGGTTTTAACACCCGTCTGATGATTTAACACAACTATCAGGTTACATTTATCTTTGCTGTCTGCTGTCAGTCTATGCACTTGTCTGGCACGCTGCATGCCCAACATCTCATATCTGTTTCTGGTATAAACAGCTTTTCACAGACAACATTTCAAAGAGATGTGGGGAAAACAAACGTCCCAAATGTCACACTTGATGACAATGAAAACAAATACTAGAGATAAAAATCAAGAAGAAGAACAGAAGAATACAAGGAGTCACAAAGATGCTGTTTATTGGTTTTCATTTGTATACTTTATCCGAGGTTCGACTCGGATAAAGCACCTCCAAATCTGAGGCCATGGTTCTCAGCCGGAAAAGGGTGGAGTGCCCACTCCGGGTCTGGGATGAGTTCCTGCCCCAAGTGGAGGAGTTCAAGTATCT